ACGTAGATCAAATGAATTTCAAATATCAATCGTCTTTTATACTGCAAAATATGTTCTTGGGCTCACAGCTGATACTGGTCTATGTATTTATCTTTATTTGTCCAATGATCTCATGTTTCTATATTTAAATAGATGGATTTGGCTATTTTTTTTAGATCCTTTTTGGTTATAAAGCTCTTCAACTGTTTAGGTTCTTATACATCATTGGCTTTCAAATATTCCGCTTTGAGCGTTCCTGGTGAAGGTAAATCCAGAAAAGCGCTTTGGACGAATGAACTTTATAACGTATGTTATCATTTTGTATATATAAAAAAAAAAAAACGATAAAATCAAATGATGGTCAACTTTGCTGAGGGAGTTGAAACCTTAGTTTCTAATAATTTCAAATTTTATAACGGATTTATAAAGAGATAATGTAGCTCGTGATGCGAATAACCCACCAATATTTAATTGTGCAAGTTGAATTGAAGGAATGGTGCGTTTAGAAGTCGTCTTTTGTTAATTTGTTTTTAGTCGTTCAAAATAATCAAAATCTCATAATTTGGACTTTAGTCAAAATCCGTATTCTAAAAGGCTGAAGTGTTACAGAGCTGAATAAAAAATCGATTTTTCTAAGATTGGATACGAGTAGGCATTCATATTTTCCCGCAAAAACAATTACAGAGTTACCGGTCCTTGCCGGTATTGTCGAAAAACGTTCTTTGAGATATTCTTCCGCATGCTTTAAAACAACTTTTCGGTACGTATGCATTGATATTATCAATGATTTTTTACTTATATATATATATATCTAACTACAAAACATTTTCATATTATTAATTTATGTTGTAAACAAAAATATTTTTATCAGTATTCATTGAAGAGATGTATTTATATCAAACGATAAGGAATGTTATTTTGCACTCGTTTATATGTGCGCATATTTATCATGTTTATAGATCGGTTACAAACCCAAAACTAATTTACATAATGGAAATCTAGGCGATAGCAATACATCGGAATGACCTCAAAACATAAAATATCAATCATTTCACATACAACATCCAATGGATTTAGTGTAAAGACGTCATTAACAGTCAGAAAAAAAACATGACCTTGTGCAATGACAGACAAAATTGTTCACTTATTGATACATGGATGAAATTTGGATGAAGACATATTCATATATTACTGAATTTGAAATCACGGTTGGCCACCGCGGTTTTCGCGATTTTCTAGATGGCCGCCGCAAAAATAATACGGCGATATTTTCATCAATATTGTCATTTCGGGTCTTTTATAGCTTGCTATGCGGTATGAGTTTTGCTCATTGTTGAAGGCCGTACGGTAACCTATAGTTCCTAACTTCTACGTCATTTGGTCTCTGGTGCAGAGTTGTCTCATTGTCAATCATACCTCATCTTCTTATTCTTATATGTATTTCCATTTTAGCAGCTTCACTATATTTCCCTCTCACTCTATATAAAAATATTACTGATTCCTTGTAATCAAAACTTTCGTGTGTTTACAAAGTATTTGACTTTTTCAAGATAAAATTTCTCTTGAAAGATTGTCAGATTTATATTTCAATGTAAAGCATCAAAATTTATTCGGCACCATGCACTTGCATTGCACTATTATTAGAATAGTAGAATAGAATGATAAACAAATGGATGCAAATCATATATATATGTAACTGTTATTTTAATATAATATATAACAACAAATCAGTGTATACTGATTTGTATCACTACAATATAATAGTTATTACGGTGAAGTAGAATTTACTGTCATTTATTCATCATCCACGCACGAACTTGTCTCAGAAAAAAATATATCTCTGTACATTAACCTCAGTTTCAGGTAAAGAGATATGTTGTTTTTTTCAGAGACAAGTGTTTTTGACCATCCTCAAGAACTTGTGGTCATCCGATGTTCAGAACTTCAGTACTTTGATTTATTAGTTGTTATTAGCTTTGAACTAGCTTTCAATAACTGCGAGTACTCTAAGATCTGTTCTTTGTGCTTTTTGTGTTTATTGTTAGTTGTTTTTGTGCTTTGTAATGATCTGGTGAGTTAATCTCTTTTCAACAGACTTTTATAGTTTGTTCTTATGTTTTGCTGTTACACCACTGTCCCGCAAACATGTTTAACCCCGCCACATTATGTATGTTCCTATCCCAGGTCAGGAGCCTGTAATTCATTGGTTGTCGATTGGGGCTGTATATCATATTAATTTTCCGTTTATTGCTTTGTACATAAATCAGGCCGGTTTTTTTTTTCTCGTTTGAATTAGTATACATTTGTCATTTCGGGGCCTTTTATATCTTACTATGCGGTATGGGGTTTGCTTAATATTGTGAACTATAGTTGTTAACTTTATTTACGTTATTTATTCTCTGGTGGAGATTTATTTTTCGTGCTTGCATATTTATTTTTCTCATCACTTCTTTTTTCGATTTTCGATGTTCGAAATTGTCTCTTTTGGTGTAAAATCTAAAAAATCCGAAACAAACAAGTTTTGCGTGGAGATTTCACATATGACCGTCTTTTGGGCCTTTTTCACGATCATGATCGTGCATTTGGGACAATGGATTAAAATTTGGTGTTTCAAGCTAAGATCGTGTAAGTTAGCAGGATTTGACCGGTGGAAAATCTTGTGGTGATCAGTTCTCTGTATATTTTTTTAAAGTGTTACCGGGAAATATACTCTGTTTAATCTCACTTTTGTTCGCACTAAATAATTTTAGAGCAAGTTTAACACTTAAAGTTTATTGTAGGTGATTTAAATGGTATATTATACATTTGGAATTCATTTATACATCTACATTTAAGGTTTTAATATATGTCTTAAATTCAGAAATATGAACCGAAATTGTATTATCTTAAAATACCGAATTGATGTCAAAAGGCAGCGCTGTCCTCATAAAAAAAATCTTGTATATTAAGAAAAGAGAACTTCAGGAATATAACATTTTTCTATGTCTAGTTCTTGTAAATGTTATGTAACAATGAAATTTGCACCTTTATACTAGTAAGTGCATTGCATTTGCGCGCATTTGGGGATTAATTTGTTACGTTTGCGCGCAGCTTTTGGTTACATTTGCATTCGTTTTACAGGTAACACAGGTAAATATAAAGATAATTTATAATAAAGATGTCGATAGTTAATAATTTTGAACATAATTATTTATAATTCTAAATTATATATTTTTCATATTAATTCTAATAAAAAATATAGTGAGTGATAATCCATTTATTTTGTGTTTCTTGACATTATCTTAAAATTTCAAAACCACCACCAACGCAATCATAGGTTTGAACGTTGTTTTCAATTTAGACTTGTTTATATTTTTCGCTTGGGCATGTATTATATTTGCCTTCGGGTTTCTATGATCCGTTCATCCTATTTTGACTCTTTCAAAATTCAAGTGTCTATCCTAAATTGAGGTAAATTATATGGCCTTCCAAATACCGTTTCGATTCCTAACATCACTGAAGAGACATTAATTGTCGAAATCCGGATATGGTGTTCAAATTTTTGCACCTCATGTTTGCGGTATACCATCTTATCCGCAAGTTTATTGTTTTCTGTTTGGTAATAAATTATTTATAAGATCTATTTTGTTACATCTTGTGATCCGTTTATTTGGCAATCGCAAATGGCAGTCAGCAGGGTTTAAGAACATCAGTTGTTCGACCTGCTAGTCAAATGCGTTTGGTTAAAATATACTTTTTCACTCATTTGGTCTTTTGGAAAATGTTGTTTGTGCTGTATTTAGACCCCTCTACAAAGAAATTTGTTTTGCATGCACACGTATAAAAATTGCGGTTTTTATCCAACGCAATCATAGGTTTGAACGTTGTTTTCAATTTAGACTTGTTTATATTTTTTCGTTTGGGCTTGTATTATATTTGCCTTCGGGTTTCTATGATCCGTTCATCCTATTTTGACTCTTTCAAAATTCAAGAGTCTATCCTAAATTGAGGTAAATTATATGGCCTTCCAAATACCGTTTCGATTCCTAACATCACTGAAGAGACATTAATTGTCGAAATCCAGATATGGTGTTCAAATTTTTGCACCTCACGTTTGCGGTATACCATCTTATCCGCAAGTTTATTGTTTTCTGTTTGGTAATAAATTATTTATAAGATCTATTTTGTTACATCTTGTGATCCGTTTATTTTGCAATCGCCAATGGCAGTCAGCAGGGTTTTAGAACAGCAGTTGTTCGACCTGCTAGTCAAATGCGTTTTGTTAAAATATACTTTTTCGCTCATTTGGTGTTTTGGAAAATGTTGTTTATGCTGTATTTAGACCCCTCTACAAAGAAATTTGTTTTGCATGCATACGTATAAAAATTGCGGTTTTTATCCAACGCAATCATAGGTTTGAACGTTGTTTTCAATTTAGACTTGTATATATCAAAGTAAGAGGGTTTGAAACATCAGCAGATGTACGTAGAAGTGAGAAAGAAAAGTATCTGATGTAGCAATTCCGATAATACCAGAATGTAGACTCGGAGAACTTGAATGCATTTCATTTCTTAATTCAGTTGGATTTAAATACTCAGCATGTACCTACAGGTATAATCGGTGCTATTACTCTTCGGATTTGATACGGCTTTACAATTTCACTATGATCTGTACATACTTCCAGGAATTGCTGCTTATGCATAATAAAACGCTCGTTTTAGAGCAAGGGCTTAGACTTACGAAAGGGATACTTGTTTATAGTTATATAAATATATAATATTTAATTGAATAAATATAATCTACTAGTACTTGTATTTACCCGAGTTTACCTGTAAAATGAATGAGCGCAAATGAAATAAAAAGCTTCGCGCAAACGTAATGATATTTGCGCGCAAATGTAATACATCTTTGTAGTAATGCGTGCAAATGTTATGCACCGATACTAGTAATTAATCGTACAATTGTATGTTTAATTACAAACAAGAACTAATCATCATCCGTTCTCTGGCAGCTTTACTAATGCTATTATGAAGAGAAACAATGCTAATTAGAAGGAGGTGGTGGTGTGTGTTATAGTGCCCACTTATGTAAATATTGACAACAGACCAACTGCCCATTCTGCAATAGTATATATGAATCAATTCTGTGTAACATACATCATAAAGACAGCTTTGTTGGAATTTGGAACCATCTCCTATACAGAATGTCATATGTGAGTTTTCGCTTTATAAATTAACTCTTTTATTATAAAAAATGTTTTCGTACTGATCTGCTCTTTTCATATTTTTACCTCCGCAGATTTCCATGATATCCGCCAAATCAATGTAATGCAAATTTATCAAATAATAAAAGGACTCGTATAAAAAAAATCATGGGACATCTTCTTTGGAAGAATTTTTTGGATACGATGTAACGATTTTAATAACTGTAAATTCAGAAATTATTGCGTGCATTTACTATTGGGATTTTTTAAGAATGGACAAAAATGCGAGGTTAATTATTGCAATTTCAGGGAAAACTGCATTCAAATATATGTATCAGATATCAGAATGCGAGTTCTTATTATTGCGATACTCTGCCAGTCGCATTATTCGCATTGATAAAAACCTCGCAATAATTTTTGTTCCAAAATATATAAACAAAAAAACGCAATTATAGTTTTTCATATTACAAAGTTTAAAGCCTTAAGAAAACATTACCACATATCTTATATGTGTGTGTGTATCTTATGTGTATTGTAAAAGGCCGTAAACTTTTCTTCTTATTTTAAAATGCGTCTGTCCAATTAACCTTAACGTTACCAATTTTACTGCACCAGCGATGCTCGAGCTCAAATATTTTAAAATCCAAAACATAACACCATGTTGAATAGCAAAAGCAAGAACTTCGTCTGTGGTTGTCTTTGTAATTTAAAGAATTTGATGTTCATGGAAGATCATTGAAAGTTTCTGTTCTATTTATTTTTTAAGACTTGATGCGTTTAAGAGCTTGACATATTGTATGGACAAATGTCTACAGTTTAAGACTGCATGTTGATCTCTAGACGACTATTGGTCATTTGTATCGATGGGTTGCTGACTATAGTGATAAGTCAAAATTTGTATGATATAATACACTATCACTCGTGAAAGATAAAATGTCTGTAAAGCAGTCCAATATTGATAACTGTATACATTTATAAGTTCGTCAAGAAATATTGGTCGAATTTAAATGCAAAGCTTTTTTATTTGAAGATCTTCTTGCAACGGGTGATTTATTCTTAAATTTTAGGTATGTTTTTGTAGGACCGGCTGTGTATATAATTTAGTCACTATACACGAGACAACAGTCTCCTGAATTATACTTAAATGAGGTTCTTATTACTTTTCAGTATGATTTGGATGAGGAAAAAATATCTGGTGAGTATCAATACATTTAAATAACGGTTTTTAACAAAATCCTAAAAGTCATATGTCAGTAAAACAGAATAAACTATGAATTCACAGAAAAACGACGAAAAGACGAACAACATTCTATAAAACGATGTAAAACTACGGAACGTAGCCTACCAAAAACCGGAGGGAGCTCAAATAGTCCAATAGTCAAAGGAGCTGCTTTACCTCACAGTAAGAAATTAATTACAAGGTAGGCATCTATACACGTGTTTTGTCAAGCTTCATATCAAAAGTTAATTTCAAAACTTAAATCTTTGATTGTAAGCTGTCGAAGAATGAAATAATTAAGTATAGTTTTCAGTCACTGTAGACATTCTTAAATCTAGTAGAAAACAAATGTGCCAGAAAATAATTATGAAGCATAGTAAGGCAAACATTCATAATTGGAATTAAAACTTAATATGTCTTTCAGTTAACAAGGCTACCATAAACATATGGAGAATTCTATTACCTCAATGTATCTTTTTGTTCCTCTCCTTTCGAAGGTATGCATTTTGACTGATAAAAAGAAATTTTAAAGATCATAAACACAATTCAGTTGAAAGTGATACAGCTAATTGCTCGGTATATGTTATGTTATGTCGTGTTTGTTGCTGCAAAGTCTTTTTTTTTCATTTGTCAGTTACAATTATTTGTTACAGTGTATCTTATCTAATTTGAGTGCCACAGCAAATTTCTGAAAGTGCCAAGTAATGAGAACTTTTTTTATAGTCTTTTCAATTAAAACAAATGGCCAAAAAGTGTCTATTAGTATATGCTTTTAATGTCAAAAGTTATAATAGGGTTCATGATATTCTAGAATAAAAAATAAACTCCAAGTACTCGCAAAGCGGTTTGTGTTAGTACCGGCAGACAAAGCAATAGTGTAGTGGTGGTGTGACGCATATACTACACAAAACTTCTCCAAAACGAAATTATCAATTCTTTTACATTCAGGTCCGTACGCTTCACAGAGAGTCAAATTGTAAACAAGCATATCACTGCCACTACCCAGCTTAAAGCCTCTTCCGAACATTTCAAAGTCTCGACTATGTACTGGTGGTTACCTAAATTACACAAACAACCATTTAAATTTCGTTTCATCTCCGCATCTAGTAAGTGTTCTACTACTAATCTGTCAGTGCTTCTAACTACCTCCCTTACTACAATCAAAGAACTTATTATTAACGTTTGTAATAAAGTTTATGAAAATAATGGTATTAATTATTTTTGGAGTGTTAAAAAATCTTTAGAGGTTTAGGATGAAATACGTGCTTTTGATGGTCCTTTTAATTGGGTTGACAGTTTTGATTTTTCTACTATCTACACTACACTTCCACACAATCTTATCAAGAAAATGTTTTTATATTTAATTAAATGGTCTTTTGAAAAATCTCATTGCCATTTATATGCCGTAACTCGTTTAAAGCCTTTTTTGTAACGAAAAAGGAAAGTGTGCTAGATACACTTACTGGAAATGTGAGGATATGATTGAAGCTTTAAATTTTCTCCTGGACTACATATATGTACGTTTCGGCAATAAAGTGTATCGACAGGTAGTAGGTATTCCTACTGGCACTAATTGCGCCCTTTAATAGCAGATTTATTCCTGTATTGCTATGAACCCCAGTTTATGGCCAAACTCAGTAAAGACACGTCATTGTTACATTTGGTTTACACATTCAACAATACCTACCTTTATCTTGATGAAATTTTTTCGTTAGATAATCCAGAGTTCTCTAAATATACTACCAAAATTTACCCAAAAGGAACTAACTTTAAATAAATCTAACGTAATCAGCTGTAGTTGTCCTTTTCTAGATTTAGACATTTCAATTTCTAAATGGAAACTCCATACTAAAATTTACGACAAAAGAGACGAATTTTCATTCCCTATTGTAAATTTTCCTTTTTTAGACGGCGATGTTCCTTTGGATCCATCATACGGTGTTTATATATCCCAACTCGTTCGTTATGTCTGTGTGTGTAGTGATGTCATAGATTTTAACGAACGTAATCAATGCATCACTGGTAAATTATTAAGTCAGGGATTTCGTTACCATAAACTACTTAAAACATTTACTAAATTCTTTCATAGATACAAAGATTTGATTAGTAAATTTGGCTGTACTTGCAGAAAACTTATTAAAAACGGTATTTCACATCCTAAATTTTATGGTGATATTGTACTAAAAACTTATTAGTAAAGGTTATCTTATTAATGTTGTAATAAGATCGTTGAATATTGTATACATTGGCACTAACATCGATTTTGTCACCAACAAATTAAAACATAACTAAATTTGTATTCTTTTCGAATGGTTTATGGGATGTATAAATACACATCCACGTTAATTTTCTATTTAGAGATTGCGTTATCTATATATAACATAATACATATTTATTATAAGGTTAAATACTAACGATCCTACTGCCTGTCGATACCTTTATGTTGGCATTGCACAAGTCATGTCTTCTTTGACTGTCCCTTGGATGTGTTTTAATTGACTTTAGTATCTGATGCATGATTTTTTTTATTGTTAATTGTTTTTGGCTTTTAACTAGCCTTCAAATCGTACTTTCGTGTTAATTTCACCTGTTGACACAATTTGTAATGCATTTCTGTAATTCAATGTTTTCTTATTTTGTGTTATATCTCATCTCACTATTTTGAATATACAGTCCGCCAAAAGTTAAGCACCACCCTATATTTGACACCTATGATATTTTACAACACCTTTTAATCTAACAAACTCAAAAGTGAGCTAAAAAGTGCCATACTTTTGTTAAGGTATGAATCGTAAACAAAATTTTTATCAAGTTTTAAAACAGTTTTTTGAAAATTTTGGCAATCTAAATTTATGTTTGAAATACTGTCAAAATTGCAAAGTGTTAAGGCAACAATAAAGTTTCACTTTGACAAAAGAATTTTATTGTTTAACAGCATTTAATTTGTACACACTTATCATAGCATAAAGTAAAAGGCATCTGGTAATGTTTACATGAAATTTTGCATCAATATGATGTGTATCCGCCCCGCTTCCGGTAAAGTTCTCTTACACGGCGTCTCATACTGTGGACAATGCATCTAAGATTTGCTAGAGGAAATCTCTGCCATTCGATTACTATTGCTGCGCGTAACTCGAGATTTTGACAAGGTGGGTTCCGGCGGTTAAGATTTCGTCGAATTCCATCCCACACATGCTCAATTGGGTTCATATCCGGAGACATGGCCGGCCAAAAGATACTGTCAATTGACTCTTGCTGCTTATAAGCTGTCACAATTCTTGCTCTGTGTGGTCTTGCATTATCGTCCATGTACAGGAGACGATCAGCAAGTGGATGGCCATCGAAATGTGGAACAACGATGTCACGTAGCACTAAGTCTCTGTAAATCTGACCATTCATATTCCCTTGTAAGACATGCATATCAAGTTTACAATTCAACGAAAAACATCCCCACACCGTAATACCACCTGCACCAAAAGCATGAGTTTGGAAAATGTTCCATTCGTTATGGGCTGTATTGCGTTCTCGCCAAACGCGCATACGCCCGTCTACGGGCCGTAAAAGAAATCGACTTTCGTCAGACCAATGAATTTTCCGCCAATTTCGGATGTTCCAAAGAAGATGGTCATAGGCCCACTGCATACGAATTTGTCGATGCCTTGGTAACAGATGTGGACGCCGTACAACTCTACGTGCTCGCAGGTTAACGTTATGGAGCCTACGGATAACACTTCGAACACTTATTCTTCCACCTAGTGGCCATTGCTGTCGTAACTGAGTTGCAGGTGTAAATGGATGAGCCCTTGCGGTGCGAATCAACAATCTGTCACTACGAATTGACGTTTTACGTGATCTTCCAGATCGAGGTCTGTCGTTTACACTTCCTGTGTCTCTTTGACGTCGTAAAAGTCGAACGATGACTGTATGATTAACGTTAAAATGGTCACCAATGGATCTTGTGCTCATACCTGCAGTTGACATGCCAACAGCTTGCCATCTTTCAGCTTCAGATAACTTACGTCTTGCCATCACAGATAAACTTGCTAAAAAGTGCTAATTTTACCTGTGCGATAATTTAAAGTGGAAAGTTTGAATGTATCCAAACCTGTTTTCCACACTGACCACGATGGGGTTAATTAAAAGCCGTTTAACAAGTTTAAATGAACTTATTATTGCACAAAATTGAAACACAATATTGTGTATGATTATTGTTATCATTTACAAACAAAAAATACGATTAAGCAATACTTCAAAAGTTTTATAAAAATTATAAGGTATCATATATAGGTGGTGCTTAACATTTGGCGGACTGTATATGTACCACCTTTGTTAAGTATCTAGTATGACGATAAATTTTCACTTCTGTACTCGTAACAAATTTATCAATTTTGTAAAAAATGTTTACTTCCGTACTCCTAACAACAAAATTATTATATTTAAATTTACCTGTGAACGTTGTTTTATTTAACGCCATTTTGACCCAGGTAAGAGTTGTCTTATTGACACTCTTCCTACATCTTTTATCATTACTACCTGTAACGTCTATGATATATAGGCACCTACTTTTTAATATTGTATTTATATTGTGTCAAAGATCAAATTTATTCGTTCAGTGTATGTTTACTTGTTTTTGTTTAAATGTCTTTTTGATCGAGTTAAGCCATTTCAATTGCTATTTTATAGTGTGTCTTTTTATGTTGTAATGTTACACTACTGTCTCAGGTTAGGGTGAAGGTTGGCGCCTGTTAAAACGTTTAAACCCGCTGCGTTTTTATGCACCTGTCCTAAGTCAGGAGCCTGTTGTTCAGTGGTTGTCGTTTGTTGGTGTGGTTCATAGGTGTTTCTAGGCTGTGCGAGTATCTTTAATGTCGAATATGGGGTTGAATATTGATACTGGTGTAACTTGTTTTTTATATAGATTAGACCGTTGGTTTTTTTTTTAATTGTTTTACACTAGTCATTTTGAGGCCCTCTATAGCTTGCTGTTCAGTGTGAGCCAAGGCTCCGTGTTGAAGGCCGTACTTTGATCTATAATTGTTAACTTTTTATACATTGTGACTTGGACGGAGAGTTGTCTCATTGGTACTCATACCACATCTTCTTATTTATATTCATATATATTCATATTCTTTGAACTCATGTGAAAGATGCATACAAGTGTTAATAGAATTTTATAATTTTGTCTTTGGCAATTTTTAATTTAACAAGCTTAGGGTTGTTATAGTAAAATTTTGAATGACAAATGACAAAATTAAAATATAATACAACTGTACGTTCATATGATGTGAAACGTATTGATGTAGGAACTATAAGACTTATCACTATACAAAATCTTAATTCCAATTTTCGTTCTCTAGGGTTTTTTTTAATAAATTTTGATGTATATATTTAAGACTCTGAACCGCGATGGTCACGCTGAAGTATGATGGTTTGACGCTGAAGTGCGATGGTGGCATTGTGAATCTATCTTGTTGATAGCTACGCCGAAGTGCGATGGTCTACACAAACTACATTTTCATTTCTTTTCATGTCGATTTAGAAGTCAATTTGTATGTTAGAAGCAGTTTTCCAGGTTTTTAGGTTGATAAGTGCTTATAAACTTTAAATACTACGAGAAACGGGGAGGGTTGATGGATAGGGAAAATTAATCCCTCTGTAGCGATTTTTTTAGAAATCATCAAAAGGTTCATTTTTACGTACGATGGAGCGTGACATTCTCTAAATACATACGGGTCCGCAGACAGACTCTGTGTTATAATATTAAGGTAAACGAGGAACTCATGAGAGGATCAACGTAAGGATAAAATGTTAAAATACCTGTACAGAATAACGCAGAATTATGTCCACATGTAGAAAATCAGAGAGGACGATCTCTCATTTAGTATGCAGACAATAATGAATGTAAATTTATTTTTTAAATATTAAGAAAATCTACTTCTCATAATAATTGCATGTTTGTAGATTTTAAACTAGCCATCACGCGTCAAATAGATCATCGCACATCAGCGAACGGACCATCGCACTTCAGCGTAGACTATCTCGCACTTCAGCGTGACCATCGCACTTCAGCGTCCCCAACGCACCTCCGAGTCCTACATATATAATAAACCTTTTTCCTCCAACACTCTGCATTGGTCAAAATTTTCTTAACTGAATATCGAATATTTAACTTAAATAACAACTTTATATCCAAATAATTCCCTGAAATGACAACTCTGTATCCAAATATTTCCCTTGAAAAACAACTTTATATCCGACGGTATATTATATCCATACTAACATAAGCTTTTCGCATTCGGTTGTAACTCCACAGTTACAGTTGACACTAATTTCCCTCCTAATATTTCAATTCACAATATTGCATCTTGCTCTTGAATCAATGAGAAATTTTACATATCCTATTCAACGACACTGTGATAATTCTATTCTCGTTTTTGCTTCGTGCGACAAATGCATCCGATAAATCATTTCCTAGGCTGTGCGAATAGCTTTAATGTCGAATATGGGGTTGAATATTGATACTGGTGTAACTTGCAAAAAAAAAAAAAAAAATGCCCGGCATATTGTCAATATGTTAATGATAATCCTATCTAATATCTCAGCTGCGATTACGAATTGTTTCTAATCTGAATTTTACTACACTTAAACTAGAAAATAACATAATACTATCCGGCTCATGTCAGGTAAAGAATAATACCATCCGGCTCATGTCAGGTAAAGAATAATACCATCCGGCTCATGTCAGGTAAAGAATAATACTATCCGGCTCGTGTCAGGTAAAGTATAATACCATCCGGCTCATGTCAGGTAAAGAACAATACCATCCGGCTCATGTCAGGTAAAGAACAGATGATTATTTACCAACAAGATACAGCCTGACCTTTTTTTAACAGAGTTCATGAGAATGTGTGACACAAATATTTAATCTTTTGTCACTAATAATGTGATTGTCCATGATTATTTAAACACTGCAATGGTACTCCGCCCTCTCCCCCTCTTCATATTTCTCCACAAAGTCGGATAAATAAATCAAGATAAATTACAAATCCTTTAAAATTCCCTTATGCAAATTTGGATTGTTGCAACAACCCTTTTTATCCCTTTAGAAAAACAGTTTTTTTTCCATAAACACAACTATATATATCGCCCTTTAGATTAAAATATGGAGGGATTCCTGCAGATAAATGCAGATTGTTTTGAAAGGTTTAGTAAACTTTTCAGATATCAAGATTCATGTTGATGCTTATGTTTACCAGTGGTTCAACCAGTCAGGAAATAACGACTGTTTGGAGTTAGACGTACCATTGAAAACAAGCTACAAGAGCTTAAAAAGTGGACGTCATACAGAAAGATCGCAAACATTTGTCAATCAAATGGTTTCAACGTTTTGATGTTATAACAAAAAGAAACAAATAGGTTTTACTTCCGCGCGAACATTTGAAGACATAGATGATGATGATGATGGATGGATGCTAAACGTCCAGCGGTAAATTGATATGCATATTCAGGACGATTGAAGACATAGAGAAAGAAACACAACAGTGACCGGTAGTTCAGTGCATTATAAACTATATTTAAAGTGGTTTTATCACTAGATCAAATAAAACGAAAAATTGCGTTTTGTTTGTTTTTGTTTTGTCCTTGTGTGTGTGTGCTTTATTTTTGGAGGAGATGTTTTGTGGTTGGTGTGATCTGTTGTATTGACTGGTGATTCCTGTTATCTTTTTTATGTATTATATGTCTTACAAACGGGTGTAAAAACGAATCATTTTTTGATAAACAAAAATTAAGATATCGGATATACTATATTCCTTGGATGTATCAAAGTCCAAAATATTTGACAAAAACCTATGAAAACTCTAACCATACCAACAAATGGAACAACTGATACACAAAAAACCCTATTGAAATATCTCTGACAATAGTTTGATTTAAATAAACAAATATCTGGCGAAGAAGGCACTTTTAATAAGTACTTTGATAGTATAACAGATACAAAGCAACGACAAACTAATGTGTGTTATTGTTTACTGGTGCAGTTATATGTCCACGCAAAGCTTCTTCAAATGAGCCAGAATATAATTAATTAGATAAACAGACAATCATACAAATATTTTGTTGACGCAAACATCAATGTCCAATGAAGATCTACGTAGAAACTACATATGCTCTGATGTTATACATATATAAGTGCATGTAACATGTAACACGTTTGTAGGTACACACCATAAAGTTCATACAAAATGAATTCCAAAAATGAACTGCAGTTCCAAGGATATCATGCGTATTTCTAAAACATACTGTTCACTTCAACGACAAATGGTCGTGATATGTGGGTATTTTTTTCACGGAATTGTGCTACGCTGAATAATTACAAAGTGAGTTATTTTTGTACCCTTTGGTTGTTTTTTTTTATTCTGAATATTGAATGTCTACTTAGAATTTAGTAATTATATGTTTCATTGTTTTTTCCACATTAATCATCCTTCTATACCCTGTTCCAGCTCCTCCCCATTAAACGGGATCTTGATTTCAATGAAACTTAATAAAAATCGTCAGTAAATTTGCTTTTACATTTACATTTTATTGGAATCATTAGAACATTCTATCGGAATCATTAGAACATTCGATCGAAATTTTGTCAGTATGAAAAAAAAACACACAAATTTATGACAGTGGCTGATCTTTTGTGATAAAACAGTTCCTGGTCTTGAATACTTTCTATTCTATTGAATATATATACAAAAAAATGTATGCTATCATGTTGAATATTGCAGAACTGAAGACAGTTTTTAGTAGTTTCGATCAAGATAATGATGGAATCATAACTACTAAAGAACTAGGAGCAGTATTATTACAACTAGGAATGAACCCATCAGAAGCCGAGTTACATGATATGATAGATGCAGTAGACTCAGACGGTAAGATGTATGTTCCAGTCTTTACGTTAAATCTGTTCAATGTGTCATGATAGATATGCTCTTTGGTCGGGTTGTTGTCTCTTTGACACATTTCCCGTTTCTATTCTCAATTTTGTGTTAGTCTGGGTAAACATGGTCTATTTGTTTTTAAATTGATTTTTGTTGGAGGAGTGGGCGGGGCTACTAGCTGAGTGAACTAGCTTTTAATAACTGAGAGTACTCTTAGATCGTCTTTGTTTCGTTTTGATAGCTTTTTGTGTTTAGTAAGGTCGGATGTGAAAGTCAATCCCTTTTCAACTGATTTCTACTGTTTGTTTAAAAGATGTGTTGCTTAACCATTATCTTAGGTGATGGTGCTCACAAAAATGTTTAACCCAGGAACAATTAAGGCGCCTGTAATCCAATGTTTGTCGTTGGTTGCCGTCTAAATATTTGTTCCTTTTAATATTATCAGCTTAAATCATGGTGTTAATTTTTTATTTTGAATCGTTACAAGTATTTTTTTTATCCCAGAGCCCTTTATATCTTACTGTACGATATAAATTTTTTTTTACCTTTGTCAAACACCTTGCGTTTATAAATCTAAATTCTGATTCAAACAAAACAATCCTTATAACAAACACCATCAAAATGCTGGATTTGTGTTGTTGTTTAAAACATATGTGATTCGTTTGGAGTACGTGGGTTTTTAACAGACGGTCGTCATATTGCTATGAAAACCGACTCTCATACCACATCTCCTTATTTTTATAAGTGTTTTAATTATATTCTTGCCGATTTGTCCTCTTATTTATATGATTCTAACTTTATGCAGAGGCTTTCTGGAGGATTGAAAGAAGCAAGAAGCCTGTAATTTAGTGGCTGTCTTTTGTTGCTGTATATCATATTTGTTTTTCGTTTATTGTTTTGTAAATAAATCAGGCCATTAGTTTTCTCGTTGGAATTGTTTTGCATCGTCATTTCGGGCCTGTTATAACTTGCTGGGCGGAATGGTTTTAGCTGAAGGCCGAACGATGATTTAGTGTTGCCTATTTCTACGTCATTTGGTCTGTAGTGGAGAGGTCTCGTTGGCAATCATACCACATCTTCCTATTTTTCTGCTATATAGATGATGTCCTCTTATTAAATAGTTCTCAAAGTTTGTGACTTTGTTTAACTCAACTATTTCAAATATAAAATTAAGTTTGCTTCATATATTTATTTACATCTAGTAATTGACAACGAGGGTCGATTGAGAACTAAACTTTACGTCAAAAGAGGTGATTTTGACTTTCCATTTCTATTTTGTCATTCGAATTTACATATAACAACAGACACCGGTTACTTAGTATCTAGTTCAGGACAGTTACTTGGGTTCCTTGACTTCCACAGAACATTTCTAGACATTAACTTTATATCGACTGAAACTTTTATTTGGTATAAAGGTGATCAACCACAGAATATACTCACATGCTGTCATTTGACAAATACCAACGTTGATTGTAGAGTTGAAGAAATTTCAAAATATGTCAATATCATTTTCTTATTCACAAAGGGAGTGGAAGTATTGATTTTCCAGAATTTTTAAGTATGATGTCGAGAAAATTTCATGAACTTGACAATGAAGATATTATTCGAGAGACCTTCAAATTTTTCGACAAAAATGGAGATGGTGTTATAACGGCTAGAGAATTAAGAATGGTGATGTCAAATTTAGGAGAAAAAATGACAGACGATGAAATATCTGCAATGATTCATGAGGCGGACAATAATGGAGATGGTGTTATTGATTATGAAGGTAAGATTCAAACGAATCGAAGTTGAAGAACTGATAATCTAAAGTTCATATTAATAGAAAAACAATAGATTTGGGGTATCCATCCACCCATGACACAAAATCAGTACATGCACAACAAAAAAACACGAAAAGCAAAGGAGCAGTGCTTTTATTGCTGTTTTTCATCTCAAAGTCCTTCATCTTCATACTTTATGTCTACTTATACTATTATACTATATATGTTACAGTGAATTTGTATAATCAGTGATTATGTAGAATCCCTTATTGTCAGGGATTTTGCATAATCACTTAAATCATTAGTGATTATATATAATTATTCAACAACTTTCCTGAAATGATTTCTGGGATTATCAATAATTCAAAGATTCTCTGTTTGGTAAAAAATATATCAAATACAGACAATTAAATCATATGTGTAATCTCTTTACGGTTTAAGTGGACAGTTTTAATTCCCTGTCCATTATCAAATCTTATTAAAGTGAACAGTTTTTCTGGTGATATTTTCTTTAACTGTGTTAAACCATATTAACTCATCAACAAAAAAAGTATTTTGAATGCACAGATCATGTAATTTTCTGTAAAACAAAGGGGATGAAAGTTAACAACCATAGAATTCAAACTAAGCAAAGAAATGCAACAAAACGTCCAGAAACACATGCTGAACATAATTTTGGAGGAGGCTGTAATACCGATTCCGCATGTTGATCATGGAAAGGGAGACCCCAAAACATTATGGCCATCGTTCATAAAAGGGCTGAAAAGAATAATGACTGACTACGAAACATGAGATTATGCCCAGATAATACACAAGGAATCAAACTGAGGTGTCTGACTGACATTTTAAGTACCTTCAGATGTTTCTAATGAAAACTTTATTTCTCTTCAAAGTGCAGTAAAATCAGATTCAATATGTGAAGGCTCAGGAGTTCAATAGTAGAGGGTCTGGATGGGGTTTACAGAATAGAGAATAATGGTCAACCAGTGCAAAATAAATGGGCTAAAAAGCAAAAAAATAAGAATAGAAAATCAAAGGGTGTTAAAATATACAGAATAGAGAATAATGGGCAAATTCGATAAAGAAAAGAAAAAAATGATCTAAAAAATTAAAGAATAAAGAAATGAAGGATCCCCTATCCAGATCCTCTTAGTGGATATAATCGAGATTTTCAATGTAGTTTGTAAAAATAAATGATTTGTATCAGAATATTGTGCTTAGAATTTTAATATTTATGTTTCTTAAGATGTTTAAATACGATTTTATTCATTGTCTCTTCAGTCCAGTTATTATGTATAATGCCTGACATTTTTCTATAGTGATTATGCATAATTCCTGAAAATTTTAGTAATATATAATCACAAAAGTTACTAGTGATTATACATAATCCCTGAAAATTTCAGGGAATACATAATCCTTAATTCTACAAATTCACTGTATACATCTGTTTATGTTTTCACTAAGGTTAAAAGTAAAATGGATAAAAAGGTATCACCATTTTCCCCTGAACTGATTCACTAAAGCGAAGGTGACGGAACCGGTTGGACTCTGAATGCTAAAGATTTAACATTATACAATGTTTACCTTAATAATTTTAAAACAATTTTTATTTATATCCATAAAATAGAAATGTTATTTGGATCTACTACTGTTGAAAACGATTTTGAAAAAATAAAGAAATTGTACATGTGTGTGTACATGTGTGTGTACAATTTTGCATCGAAAGACATCCATCAACAAAATCGTTTAGTTTGTATCTGAAAGACAGTTCATATATCCAGCTTCAATCTCGATATAATTTTGGTCTTGGTGAAGAATTTCTTCTGCTCCGTTTTTATAATATATTATACAAATTAATATGAAGATGTTAAAAATTGAAACGTAAAGATTGAAGGACTTTTTGAAAATTTGAAATAAGTTCTTAGGAAATTGACCGTACATATTTTGGTGATATTTCGACAAATTGATTGATTGGTTAATGGCTGCTTAAAGTCCAGTGGCAAATATTATGTGCATATATTTAAGACGATAACATGTAAATTAGATATAGAAAAACACTGTTTTTACTAAACCCACACGCTAAGTCGGAGTTTCAACGGCTAACGCATGGAAACATTCCACATGAAGACATAAGCCTACTCAGACTCATTATTCTGACTCATATACGAGCATTCTATGCTTTTACTCCTAATTGCCGCTTGCTTGGCGGAGAGGCGTCAAATACCATTGTTAAAGTCTATGGTTTGACCATGGAGGTAATATATCGATATTACTTCCATGGTTTGCCCAGTCGGGGATCTAACTACGATCTCTCTTATTCGAGGTGAGCGCGCTACAACAAGACCACCGAGGCGATGTTATTTATTTTTGAATGACACATTTTATACCTCCACTCCAAAGGAGAGAATATATTGGTAAACCTTTGTCCGCTCATCAGTTCGTCCGAGAGTATTTACGTCCGTAACACATTTTTGTAGGACTTTCTACTAGTCAAATCTTATTGATATACGGCAGCAAGTCTTATCTTGTAATGCCAAACTGTATGAGACGCTTTCAGTTCCATCGATTTTCTTCTTATATCTTTAAAATGTTAAGCACATATAGGAAATTTTTGGAACATTTTTTATTGGCAATGCTTATAATAGCTTCTTGCTTTGTGGTACCAAGCTTCATCTGATTGTGTCATACCGTTTTCAGTCCTACATCCTGTTTGCCGGAAACTTACATCTTAAAGATATCATTCACATATTCATATTGACTCTTTGTTATTTTAGTCAACAACATTGGTATAATAATATATAATAATATAATAATAGCTTACAGTAAATCTTGTTTTACTGTAAGTACTACGATTTCTAATTGGTGCTATACTATTATCACGTGCAAGCGTGGCGGTTAGTGTAGAACGACTGACTGACAAACGACATATTTTTGTAACAAACAAGCTGTATGTAAAAACCTATTGATTAAAAGAAAAAGTTTGTTTGTTGTAATATCTATGGTATACTCGATTAAAAAAAAAATGAAAAAAAACCATAATTGATAATAGTCTCTGATAAATTTATTAGTAATATTTTTTTAGATAGGGCGATTGAAAGCATGGCATATTGTATATTTGAAGAGTGTATATTGACTTTAAATGTCTTTTTCAGTTTGACATATACCCCATGCCTCTTTATTCATAAACAAACACTATTTTCGTTGAAAAAGGGTATTATATAAAATATAAGTTCTCCATGACAAATAAGCTGTTTTGTTTTGGCTTTTTAAAGTCTAATCTTCTTTTTCAGAGTTTTCCAAAGTCATGACGGCACAGTAAATATTTGAAGTTGTTCATGCAGAATATTGAGCACACGTACCACTGTTTACTTTTTAACTTTAAATCATGCAAACTACTTCCATGTTGATTGCATTTTCAGACATCCTTTTGTAAATAAAAAATATTAATCTAATAATGAATTTTCATGGCCGTAACTAACATTGTGACGCATATGTAACCATTTTGTCAGGAATAATGGTTAATATCATTACAAACATTAATTATGGCTTGATGGAATGTAATATTAACATAAGGAGATGTTGCATGATTGCCAATGAAACAATTACAACCCCTCCCCCCCCCAAAAAAAAAAAAAGAGAAAAGGATAAAGATGCAAACAACTACAGGTCACCGTATGGCTTTCAAAAGTGAGCAAAACCCATACTATAAACTATTAAAAGCCCAGTGATAACAAAACATAAAACATGTGTTCCAAAAATAAAATATCAATCAGTACACCTCAAACGGATACAATATGTAGAAGTAACACACAGCCAAGAAAAGCATGACCTTATGCGATGGAAGAATACAAGTCACGATGAATGCAGAACCACAAACATCATCAACCGCACAGAAAAAAACGTCACGTCTTTAAAAACAGCCAAAAATAACCCAAAAAAAACAATGCGGTACCGGTAAAAACAACACCAAATGGTATCTCGACAATGTTAAAGTGATAACTTGTAAATAGTTCGTACAAAAGACCAACAAATTCATATTGATTGAGCTTTACGAACATCGTAGTAAAAATCTGATTATGAGATAACGCCTGCAACAAGATACTCAAAGCCAAAAATACAATTAAAATCTTCGACTTAGAAATCTACTAGTCATACTACATATAATACGTTCATAGAAATCCTATACCTTACTGCAGACATTGGAGTATCGAACGAGTTGTGAAATATTCAAACTCACCACGAGAAGGGGTCAAAGAACATCATCTTTCAAAAAGGGAAAATTAAAAATGAAGAATAAAAAATCGTCTCGCCTGTCGTGAAGTATAGTAGCTGATATAAGATGTATTAAAAGTCAGGTGTCTGTACGCGTCTGCAATATATAAAACTCGTTATCTTTAATAACTAAACCAAAAGGTAGATATTACACATAAAGATTCTTAAGAAGTGTCATCGTCTATTTTAACTAAAATTAAATTCCATTTTATTTATATCTCCTTTATCTTATTGGTTTATTTTTCTTTACTATGATATTCCTTAATCTATACCAGAATGGAACTATTTCGGATAAGAGAGTGTATGGATATGGCAATCGAACTTTTAGAGTGGATTTGATAGAATTAAATGGTGATTTCACGTGAAAAAAATGGAAAAGAAAACTTTATAGTTATACTATAGTTTTGAGTATAACTATAAAGTTCACCAGTTGAAAGATGTTTTTTTTTCTCATTTATTCTTTGATAGAAAAGAGAATGGAAACGGGGAATATGTTAAAGAGACAACAACCCGAACAAAGAGCGGAAAATAGATCAAGGCCACCAATGAGTCTTCAACTCAGCGAGAAAATCCCCCACCCGGAGTATTGGCAATTATATCTACCACCATATACAAGAGTACTCATCCATTATACTCACATAAATGTAAAGTTTGGAAACCAAACCTGACACCAATGTACATCTATACACAAATATAGACAAAACATTTGAAAAGATCAGTGTTGTCTAAAGCTGAAAAAATTCTATTAATAGCAGGAGAAATCCAACAAAATTCCTGGACCTCAAACCCGAAATATAACCATTAATCCTTGCGGCTTGTGGTACAGGCGTGTCACATGCTCCTGTGAAGGCTTGTGTTGTAATGATTGTAATATTCATCATCACAGATCAAGTATTGGACTCTGATTTCAACTACCTAGACATTGATTGGACTAACATGGAAATAAAGTCAGGAGCATCAGAAAAAGAAGTACAACAGGCACTAATGGGCCTATCTATTGAACACAGCCTCGTGCAAATTCACGACAAAACAACCAGAAAAGGAAACATGCTGGATCTGGTATACACAAACAACCCGTCTCTTATTAAATCAACAAGCAATGCCCCAGGAATTTCAGACCATGATATCATCATCACAGATTCTTTGATTAAACCATACTACTGTAAGCAACGCCCACAAAAACGACACATCTTTGGAAGGGACCAGATAAAAATTGACATAAACATAATAAGAAAGGACATCTGTAATCATATAAATGAAATATCAATGATAGACAAAACATGGCAAACCTTCAAGAATGGAGAACAAGCATTAATCGACTTAAACGTGCCAACCAATCTAATTAAAATATAGAACTCGGATTTCGTTATACTCCGTACGATTGAAATATAGAACTCGGATTTCGTTATACTCCAAACGAGTATAACGAAAACCGAGTTCTATATTTTAATAAGATTGCGTGCCAACTAAAATGATCTAGACAAAGCACTCAGTTCCCTGGCTAAACCTTGGGGGCCACTTCATTACTTAATTGATAGGGGGCCTGCTGGGGTTCTGTTACCATACCCTTTTCATATAATTCATATTTTAAAAATGTATACCTTTTCATATATTGCGTAGGTAAAAATGTAACATTTTCCCATATTGGTTGGGTTTCGTGTGTGGTGTGTTGGAAAAGTGGAATACCAAAGTGTCAAAAGAGGGGAAATTTGTGAAAAAAACACAGCCATAACACCAAGAAAGTTACAGGGTTTTAAATATTGCAAGATATGAAAACTTTATTGACCTTTTCATATATTTCTTATAGTTTTCCCCACCTATTCACATATTTTCAATGACATCATTTTAAATGACATCATAAATGCAGGATTTGAAAAAAATAGTTCAAACCATTCTCGAACTATACGAAAGCTAAGAAAAAAGACCACATTGGAGTTCCACTACTCAAGTCAAATTGAGGCCTTACAAACGCATAAATTCTAAACAACAAAATCAAATCTGTATTCGCAAAATTAGATTCAAATTCGAACATACCACCGCTGAAAAAAGATCAACTTCAAATATTTCAAAATTGGATATAACATCGGAAAGGGACACAAATTATTAAAAAATGTTAATCCATCTAAAGCCATAGGACCATACGAAATTCTAAAAAACGGTCCTAAAAATACTGTGCAGAAGAATTCGCACCTAGCATCGCCGCCATCTTTCAAAAATCAATAGATAGCGGTATCCTTCCGAAATATTGGTAAAGTGCAAACATAGCTCCAGTATTTAAGAAGGGGGATGTCCACACAGCAGAAAATGACAGGCCATTCTCACCTGTGTATCTATCATGCAAGCTGTTGGAACACATAATCTGGAAAAACACAAAATACTGACAAATTTAAATCATGGGTTCAGATCAGGTTACTCCTGCACAACACAAATCTTAGTCAAAACAGAAGATCTACTAAAGAGCTTTGACAATAGCATTCAACTTGATGTGGCCATACTAGACTTTTCAAAGGCATTCGATACCGTGCCACACGACAAACTCCTGACAAAGCTAGAAAGCTATGGAATAGATGGAAATCTAAACGTATGGTTATCTTCATTCCTGAAAAAAATATTTTTTTAAAAGTTCAGATATGAAAGCCGAAAAGGCTGAGAGATATTTCCGTTTCAAGACTTTTTTATGATATTAAGGTTAAAAATATGAATACAAATGTATTTTATGCATAACGATACGTCCAAAGTTAACTGTTAAGTAAGCTTAGGCGTAAGAAAATTGAAACCGGAAGTGAACGTCCCGTATTAGCCCATGGGCCAATACGGGGGCCAATACGGCTTTTTCCATATTGGCCCCCGTATTGGCCCTGTACGAAAACCAATATTAACTCCGGATTGATATCGACAGGACAACGTCACCAGTATTGCACAGGCTGATTTATCCGTATTATGGCTGATTTGCTCATATCATTTAATAAATTATAATAAGGACCTCAAATTTTCTGAGGAAACTGATACGTGATTATATATTTATTGTTTTATATACCGACGTCTTGTGTAACAGATTTAACTATAACTTTTCTACTGGGCCTATTATATAGTATTACTATTAATAGTAGTTTTCTACGTCATCAAAAGAACGACCCACAATTATTTTGATAAGGGTACTTAACAACCATATATTTATTTAAACACATTACCTAAACTTTTATATGGATTAATTTTGGAAAATTTCCTGAAAGACTCTCACATCCTGAATTTTTGAACAGTGGAACATAGCAAGTGTATGGGTTATATATAATTTTTTCAGCAGAATTACCGGCACGTGCCCCAGAGACCAACCTGGTAAGACTTGTTCAAGGAAATTACTGACATTTTTTTTTCAGAAGGGGATTCTCATATAGATTTTCTGTCAGTTATATAATGGGACTCCAAAGAAGTACTAGTAGAGATACACTTTAATATTTTTCATCTTTCAACAATATTATTTGGCACATGCCTCCTGACTTGTTTGGTTAAGAAGCAACCAAATGGTATAAATACATCGTATTTAGTTTTTAAATAGTTGAATATGGGGTTCTAAGGGGACTTTGTTTGTCGTTTGGTACACTTCGTAAATAACAATCATTACTTTTTACAATGTGTGTTAAAACTTGTCGTCAAACAAAATAATTATACACATTTTGTTTTCCTCGAATAGGAATCGATTGATCTATTAATGTATATGTATAAGAACTTTCGCCAGTGTTGTCACCCAAAAGAATCAATTGCTAAAAAGGTACAGCAATTTTGAATTACAACATGTCATTAACCTAAATTTTGGTCTTCAATGCTTTTCAACATTGTACTTTGTTTGGACTTTTAACTTATTTATACGAGCGTCGCTGATTAGTGTTTTGTAGACGAAACGTGGGTCTGGCGTAAAATATTATTAGCCTAGTATCTTTGATGAGTTTTTTTCACAGAACCTTACCAGAACTTATACATATATTCATTATATTGTGATGGTGTAGTGTATTCTTCATCATTTTTTGTTAAACATATTCAGTCTGTTTACTCACTCGCTTTTTTACCCAATTTATTCTAAAGTTCACCGTTTTCCTATAAACATTGCGATATGTGATTGTTTGACTCCAGATACATTGTAATAACATAAATGATTCAGATTTTTTTAATCACATAGCAATGCAAC